TAATTTGACTTCGATTGTACTAATTTGAGTTCAATTGTATTAATTTGACTTCAATTGTATTAATTTGACTTCGATTGTGCTAATTCGAGTTCAATTGTATTAATTCGAGTTCAATTGTATTAATTTGACTTCGATTGTACTAATTCGACTTCAATTGTATTAATTTGACTTCAATTGTATTAATTTGACTTCGATTGTACTAATTCGAGTTCAATTGTATTAATTTGACTTCAATTGTATTAATTTGACTTCGATTGTACTAATTCGAGTTCAATTGTATTAATTCGAGTTCAATTGCATTAATTTGACTTCGGTTGTGCTAATTCGACTTCAATTGTATTAATTTGACTTCAATTGTATTAATTTGACTTCGATTGTACTAATTCGAGTTCAATTGTATTAATTCGAGTTCAATTGTATTAATTTGACTTCGATTGTACTAATTCGACTTCAATTGTATTAATATACAATGTTATAACATATAATAACATATGTTATATTATATTATATGTATATAATAAACATATAGTATATAATATATTGAATTTATAGTATATGTATATGTATATAATTTGCGCAGAAATAAACGTAAGGTGTCTGGCGGCACAATGGTACGAGGTGCGCCCAGAGAAACCGGACTCACCCATAGACCCGGGTTCGAGTCCCCAATCTGGGATCCTTGTATATTTTTTTTTTAAGAAACCGTATTTAAGAAATACGGTTTACAAATAATTCATTAAGTAAACCGTATTCTCTGAATACGGTTTATAAATAATTCATTAAGTAAATCGTATTCTCTGAATACGGTTTACAATTAAATCATCATATAAACCGTATTCTGTGAATACGGTTTCCTGGGACATAAAAAAAAAATTATGGAACAGAGAGCAAAAACATTTCCATTCCAACAGAGCTGTTACACCCAAAATTGTTACAACCTGTTACACAATTTCAGAACAATCACCTAAAAATAAAAACACAAACAAACCAACTCATATACAGTCCAAGATAACAAAAATATATAATCCAAACATAGTCCAACAAATCAAAGTAAACAATAAAAAAAAATAGTCCCACATAAAAAAAAAAAAATACACACTAACAAATCTAGTTTTCCCACTCACCACGGCGTCTAGATCTATCAGTGCGAGGATGTGAGGATGGACAGTCATCCACAAAATGCTCTGTATCACCACATCTACTGCACTGCCCTCTATCACTCCGGCGGCGTGCCCGACGATCCATTTGCATGCGATGACGCCTCGTTTGCGCGCGACCGGGTCCAGCCTTCGTGATCATCCTTTCCCAATGTGGTAGTAAGGTCCATCCGACCATTGGCCATGTGTCCGGATCACCAACCGGAGCAAAAGTCCAATTAGAAAACTGAGCTACCCAGGTCTCCGTCCAAAAATAGGGATCGTACAATAACTTCGGTGGAGTATTAAGTTGTCGACACACAGCTATAGCATGAGAGCATGGTTTCCTATGTGTCTGCCACTTCAGACAACGACAACGCCTCTCGTCGAACCAAACCTTACACCTGTTTTTCCACACATTGAATTATATTTATAAACAACTAAAAATTTTAGTGAACAAAATTAAAAAAATTAAAATTATAAAATAAATAAATAAACCACATACGTTTTGTCCCCTCTACCACTCGGCCGTAGACCCGTTGTCACCTCGTATAGAGATCTCGCCGCGTTCGCACATCTCACCCTATGATTTGCGGCCATACTCTCCAATTCGCAAAAATCCGCATAGTGGGCACTAGCAATGGCATTACTGCATCTCGTGGACTTCTTTTGTTCCTGCTCAAACAAGTCCAGAGTTTTCATGAATGTGGCGCGTACCAAAGCTCGGCAGGGCAAGAACCTAACACCTTTCAGGACGTTGTTGTAACTCTCGGACATATTGGTCGTCAATGTACCCCATCTACGTCCTCCCTCGTCTCCAAGCAGGGTCCACTTGTTCAGAGGAAATCCGAACAGGTAATTGTATGCATCCGGATTAAAATCCGAAAGCCGCTCTCGTATCTGTTGAAATTTTCGCTCTGAAAGCTGTGAACCCAACTCCCAACACACCAATTTCGGATTTTGCTATTCCTGTACCTAGTAACAACGTTGCTCCGAAGGTGTCGAAGACAGATGCGGTGATATGCAGCGGGTTCTTGCCAAGCCGCCAATGAATCCACGGCACTCTGTAAGCCACCATCCCTGTCCGAAAGAAAGCATATCTGTCTGTCGCCGACAACATGTTGTCGTAGATTGGTCAGGAAAAATGACCAGCTTTCCCTGCTCTCTTCATCCACAATCGCATACGCGATTGGCAATAACCGCTTATTTGCAGTTTGTGCAACGGCCATAAGCAACTTCCCCTTGTACGAGCCACGCAAATGCGTGCCGTCCATGCTAATTACCGGCGGGCATCTCTGGAAGGTCTGAATGGCGGGACCAAAAGCCCAAAAAACAAATTTGAATTCTCTGTGCTCATAGTGGGCCGCCATATCCCCACCCTGCCATTCCCACTGTACAACTGTAGTGGGATTCGCTATTTGAAGCGCTGCAAAAAACCTACACGTTATAAAACGTAATCGTCAATACATAAACATAGTGAGATAAAATAAATAATACGTGCATTTTAAATAAAATTTTTCTTACTGAGGGAGTTGTGCGAAGTTCTCTTCCCAAGTGCCATACAAACTGTCGATGGCTTTTTTCCTCCCGTGCCACGCCTTCTTGTAGCTCACATCGACTTTCCAACATTTTTTTACATCCTCCTGGATCATGGTAACACTGTACTCCGGTTTCTTTTGAATCTTGGTCATGGTAAGATTGGAAATCATTGTGGCGGTTACATTTCTGTGGTCATTTTTGTCGACTTCTTGCATACAACTATGCCTCTCGGTCCATTTCGTTACTTCCCACAGTTCATGAACCCGTGTGCAGTGCGTCACCCTAGCCTTCCACGGACAAGGCTGAGCTTCTTCGGATTTGCACACCACCTTGAATGATTTCTTATTCGAATATTTTGACCTAACCTCCCTCAATCTACTCACGTTCCAATTCATTATAGCAATTTGTGCTTCTTCATTGGACCGGAAAACAATACCCAAACGGATAGAATCGACATTTCCATTCCAACGAGGGAGAGCATGCTCATCTCGGTCTACACACAACGGGTCCCACTCACCCATCTCGTGATACACGTGTTGACCGGTACTAGGAAATGGGTGCTCTTCAATAAACTCTGGATCACTCTCCTCGCTTATTGATCTATCCGATTCCGTTTCCGATGTATCATCTGTGAAATCGTCTTCATCAGGAATGAAATCATCATCGGGTTCTTCTCTGGCTGTTGAGCTTGTCCCTTCGCCAAAATTACGAACATGCGAAGTGGACGTACCTTCAAAATCAGGCACTCCCCCGTAAAAAGGGGGAACATCCTCAAACTGTGTAATCACTGTAGGTGCCTGCGTAACCTGCTTCAACTCTAAATGCAAATACACATAGGAGAAAGCAGGAAAATAATATATCCACTCAAAGGCACTATCAGTATTCATGTTTCTGATATTCCACGAACCATCGGGTCGGTTTGTCAGTAAACTAATTCCCTCAATTGTCAAACCATTTCGACGGAAACCAAAATTTTCATAAAGTATATCTACAAATTGTTGAAATGATATCTTCTTCCCAATGCAAAATGAACCATTCGGACGGTTTATAAAATCTGAAAATGAATCTAAAACCTCTTTGGGATAATTCCAATACACATTAACAAAGTATGGTAGTCCGGCAGACGCCATTTATACCTGTTAAAATAAAATCACGAATTCTTATATCAAACCCTAATACTCATAATCCATCAATAACATATAATTCACTTTCAACCAAAAAAACCATAAAAAAAAAATCATTCTCAATCAAATAATCCCCTTATCGAATAGTAACATATAAATCATCTATAATTTCGATAAATTGAAACCCTAATTTCAAAAAACCCTAACCACAACAACAACCAAACAATTACACAATTGATAATTAACACATAATATTTCAATATCCAATTCAACATACACACATAATCATTAATCAATTAGCAATTTCAAGTTTCAAACACCAACACATTCAAACATATTATAATAATTATCAATCTCCAAATAACTCCAAACAAATATAAAAAGTTAAGATAAACCAATATACCTCGTGCGAATGAATTAACCGAAAATAAGGCTCGTGACGCTGTTGTCGGTTCACGTTAGAGTGAAGATTGGATCGAGTTTTTTTTTTCTCAAGTATTTTCGCTCCTCTTTGAAGGCTCTCAGTAGTTGGTCTCTATTGCTCCGCTCGCGTAATGAATGGAGAAGAAGATTTTTTTTAATATATTTTACATAAAACGTATTTAAGGAATACGTTTTCTGTGCATTTAAATGTAAAACGTATTCCTTAAATACGTTTTGCTTAAATGTATTTTAAAAAAAAAATAAATTTTTTTAAGACGCATTTAGTAAATACGTTTTCTGAAAACGTATTACTCAAATACGTTTTTTATTTATTTATTTTTTTTATTTAACGAAAATTATTTTGAAAATTGTTTACGATTTTTTTTTAATTAAAACATTTAAATGAAAACGTATTCAAGGAATACGTTTTTTTAAATATTTTTTTTTTTTGAAAAACGTATTCAAGGAATACGTGGTTTTTATGCTTGTCCACTCCCTTTTTTCTTTTTTTTTTGTCCACTTAATTTCCATATTTTTTTTTAAATAAATCACCCTAAGTCTATTATATATCACATATGTAAAATTAAGCTCAATGCATTGTGGTTGCTCCCAGTGTTACGTGTCCGGTTTCTATTGGCTTGTGTGATCCATAATCAGAAACTCCGGTCAGTCTTCTCATCACAACACAACGCTAAAAAAAGAAAGATCTTCGGGTCTTCTCATCCGATCACCGTCTTCGAACAAAAAATTAGGGTCTCGGAAGATCAAAACTGAAATCATGAAAAAATCAAGGTGGTCAGTGGTTATACTCGTCTTGCTCGTCCTCTTCTGCGGTGTTGTGTTCTCCGATCAGATCATTCCAGCTCATACAGGTAGCTACCCGGCCAATTCTAATTGCTCTGAATTTCGCTCGCTCGAGCCATTTTTCCCGCTTGCTGAGACAGAATCTTTTTGAACTGATTGAACTGACGAATGAATGATTGCAGTGCCGTATGTGTATCTTTTGAAATGAATGGCAGTGCCATATGTGTATTTTTTGGGGATACTAAATCAGCTTGTGAGCTTGTGAGGGACTTTTTGTTATGGAATTCGTATCGGCATACATTCGATGGGGAATGTGGTTAGATTTCAACTACCAACCAGTGTGTTGTGCATCAAACAAATAGCAAAGCTGCATGCTTATTCTTTTAGATCACACGAAAAGCATAAGTTGGTTGATTGAAATGGCAGGATTCTGTTAGATGACTGATGTTTCTATGTGACAAGTAATATAAGGTTTATCTATCTCGATCCCTTGTATGTAATGAATCTCGTACGAATGCTTGGAGTGATTTGGTGTGTACATATGACAAATGAAGTATAATGTTCAGTTTTTGGTCTTAGTCTAGTCTATATGAATGAGAGTATTATTTTAGATTTAACTATGTATACTACTGGTTGAATGTGGGGTCTCAGCCCGACTGCCTAAGATAAATAAATATTAAACATTCTTCTTTATGACTCACGGCTGCTAATTTCTTCTCGGATATTATCTTGGATTTTAGGTGGTACCTTTGGTCGGAGCTCCCGAGAACCAAAATTCAGAATTGAGTTTCATTCAGAAGACTCACCATTCCATCCAGTAAGTGTATCATCATATGTTTTAATTGTTTAAAATTTTGTGAATCTGTCTAATAGCACTATGGCATTACAAATGATACTTGAGTAGCAAAAGAAGTTGGATGTTTTAAAAAGCTGTTCACAATGTTCTTTGAAACTCATGTCTGATTGCCAGCTCTATTATATACGTCAATTTCATGTATAACATAGAGATATTTTCCTGGTCTTAGCATATCTTATTAAACAATGTTCTCAACATCAATTCAATTTAGAACGACTTGTGCGATACTTAGTTTATAATAGTTCAAAGCTTTTCCTCATTGCATTTTCCGAATCTTATATGGGTAACGGTTAATGTCTTCTCAATGATTGAGAATATTGATTCTTCAATATTATTTGAGGGGATGTAGTACTTCCACCTAATGACTCCTAACATTATCCATGACATTATTTTGAGATACTAGATCAGTAGATTAAGGGAAATTTCCAGTTATTTCTAGCCAGAAGTTCATTATTCAAATAAAAGCCGCAAACATTGTTTTTGAATTTTGGTAAAAGAGATGGACATTTTCCGATGGTACCATTATTGTTGTATTCAACTGTCAGATTGGTACATTATGCATATAAAATTATCTATTATCCTTTACCTCTTATGCAGTTAATATTTTCTGTTGAGAAACTGGATATTACTTAGAATGGATGATTCTATATTATAATTCATTAATGGATCGAAAAGTATTTATCGTTATTCAACACTAAAAAAACTCAGTTTGGGAAATGAGCAGCAGTTTTTTATGGGGATGAGGCATAGTCATAAGGAGCCACAATATTAATGCTTATTATAATGTTAGAAAAATAGCTTGATACGTTATGATGCATAACTCGAGCGATAATTCCATTTCCAGTTTCGCAGTTTCTCACTTATTTTGTCGGAATACAAAACTATCTTAAACTCAGCATCACGAAAACTCTTGAATCTTGATAAACTTCTTCGCAAGAGCAATGTTATTTTCATACCCTGCCAAAATCAATAAATCAGAATAGCATAATTTTATTTTATTTTTTTCCAAGTGATGACCAGTCTTATTTCATAAGAGACTCTATATCATAAATGAACTGTATCCTTATGTCTAGCTTGTTTTCATATTTCATATCTTGTCAATCTCGAAAGTCATCCTGACTATTTACTGCCATATAGAATCCCGTTGCAGGATTCTCTAATTAGCCATGTAGACATTAATGGAATAAATGAGAAGGAATTTACATGAGAAGCATATATTTATGTTTTCTCCAATTAGTGTACATAAAAAATTTGGAGTAGAAGATATGAAATAAAGTATTCTGTTAGAACAACAGAATAGTCAGCATCGGTAGAGTGACGGACAAATCATGAGAAGGAACTAAAATCTACAAATAATAATAGAATGTTTGGTTTGCTTCTTTCCTGAACCAAATTGAATGGCATTTTCTACTTATATAGACGTTTTTTGATGCACCACTTTGCACCACTTTTTGGCAGAAGCCACTTGTTGAGCTTACAAACATAAGTGGGTAACATGTTATCCCTTCACAGTATAATTATTTTTTGGCTATTAGTCTGTGTGAATGTAGTGATTGCTATTGGTGTGGTCATTCCCTTGGTAAATAATCACACAAAGAAGTCGTCCTTTTCCCACTGCCTTGGTTGGTCTTGATCTGATTTTTAGTGGTCTTCTTTGTTGTAGAATAGAATTTTTCCATCTGTTCTATAATCCATTAGAGGCATCAATTGGCCATAAAACATCTCTCACAAAAGGAAAAAAAGAAAACCAAAAAAAAAAAGAGAGAGAGAAGGGAAAAGAAAAGAGTTAAAAAAAAGTGTGAAATCTGGATAATACCTGTAAATTAACCAATACTGGGTTTGTTGTTGTATGTGTCTCTACGGATGATTGTTGAGCTGCCATTTTTCGTTCATCAGGATGACGACCAAGAGTCCATTGTTATGCCGGATAAAAGTGGAGAAAAATTTCTATGTTATTTGCCTAAAGTGGAGAAATCCAAGAGCGGAAAGTTAGTTGCTCAACAGAATATAAGCAGTATGATCGTGGAGTCTGAGACACGCGTGAAGTTGAAGACACCAGATGAGCTGCTAGAAGTTTTAAAGGATCGATGCTTTGTCCGGGTAAGGAAAATTTGGATAACTAGACAAAGATCAAATAAAGTAACTTATTAACTGTAACAAAGATCAAATAAAGTAACTTATTAACTGTTAAAGCATTGTTCGGTTTGTTTTGGTGTACTCCCCTCTTTTATGATATTGGATACTTACATTTAGAAATATTTGTCTGCAGCAAGAGGGATGGTGGTCCTATGAATTTTGCTACCTAAATCGGCTGCGCCAAATTCATTTGGAGGACGAGAAGGTCATTCTGTTCTTGATTTTGTAAATTATGCACAGTTTTATCTCAAAGATAAAGGATATGCCTGCTCCTCCAGTTCCATATATTTCCCAAAAATATATGTAATAAAGTCAAAGCACTCACTCTTTAAGCTACTGGAGGACTGTTTCTGATATTGCCAACATTTATTGTCTAAATGTCGAGCCTCTGGACTTTTAAGGCTTCTCATTATTCTTGCTAAAGCATTGTCTCAGTGTAAAGTACACCTAACTGTCAATGCCTTATAGGTTGTTCAAGAATTTGTCTTGGGAGTATATGACAAAGAAGCTACAGAGGCTAACAATCAAAATCTTTCTGATATATCAAGATTGAAGGATCCTCGCTCAAAAGATGCTTCTCAACGGTATCAATTTTATTTGTTTGAATTAGAGGGACTGCATTGCAGTCGGCTTATAAAATTGTGGGGTAGATTAACTGAACTTTTCCATCACAATATCCAGGTATCATGCTCATATATTTACTAATGGAACCCTCTGTGATCTGACAAATGAGCCACGAGAAACAGAGGTAATTGTTTAAGTTTCTTTTGGCCACCTTGTATCCATCTTCATGGATAACTGTATCTCCCAAAGGTTTTCAATTTCAGGTTAGATTTGTTTGTTCTGAACCCAGAGCTATGATAAGCTCAATCACAGAGTTGTCGACATGCAAGTATGCGCTGACATTCCATTGCCCAACACTTTGCAAGCATCCGTAAGACTCTGTGTGTGTGTGTTGTGCATGTCTACGTCTCCGTGTCTTCTGTGTGTATGTTTGCATGTATATACTATATAGCGTGTGTCTGTGTGTGTGCTTCAACCCTTGAAAACTGCTGTTGCACATTATATGAAGTTATAGATATACTACATAGCATGTGTCTGTGTGTGTGCTTCAACCCTTGAAAACTGCTCTTGCACATTATATGAAGTTATAGAAACAAAACAGTATTTTTGTCGCTATTGCTGCTGACCGTATTATGTACAAATTCTACATGTAGCATCTTTTTCTGATTGATTCATGCTAAAATGTCATTTCTATCCTGATTGATTCATACTATAATACATTTTCCTAATCGGATGAGGCCAATGCTACAAGTTAAATTCATACTTGTTAATTACCAAGATTGAAAGCTTTGACGAGACTATCAATTTTTATATTTGTTATGCCATGATCTTTCTCACCGATGAGCTGTTGTAATTTGTTTGTTCGTAGAAGTTTTGTGTACATAATAGTACCATTCTTTTTTTATAACAAAAGTACAATACTATATTACTGCAATGCAGCAAGGATAATATACATGCTATTATAAAAATCCAATGCTTATATAAACATCCGTAATTACACTTAACCTTTTTTACACATTTGTTTACTGTATTTGGAAAATATCGTTATACCTTTTAATGAAACTATTTAAGTAGAAATTGTTTTCAAAAACCTATATATTCATATATTCCACATTTGTACTAAACTGTTTTTAAATAGTAAATCGGAAAATCTGGAAATTTGTTCAGAAAGGCCTGAAGTTTCTTATAACTTCCTGAAAATGATTTATACATTTTCTATAATTGTTGTTGTTATATCACAGTGACGCAGCTTCCAGGTTTCTCACTTGTTTAGAATGTTATATAACAATATGATGTGAACGGGTGAGATACCCTTTTGTTCAAAAGGATGTAGAATTTTCTTGATGGTAATGATTCAAGAGTCGCTTGGT